TATATTTTTAATGTGGTTCTTTTGCAGTTTGTCACACGAATATGTTGTGAAGGTCGCCGTATGTTGGTGTATCTAAGGAAGCAAAGATGATCACAGGTACCATGACGGGAACACCTGCCTACATCGCACCGAAAGTGATCAGCTCCAGTTATATACGACAGCAAGGCGGATAATCTACAGCTTTGGCATCATGATGTGGGAGATGTGGTATGGAAAGAGGGCCCTTCTAGAGGTAGGAGGAGATTTGAATACGTTTCTAGGCAAAGTTGGCCGAAGGAAAACGACCATCGCACGTTGAAGACAGGAGGAAGCCTCCAACGGCCTGGCGGAAGCTGATGCAACAGTGCTGGGATGACAATGCAGAAGACGACCGACTGCTTCAATGTGTCACACGGAGTTAACCTCACTGTACCAGGAAGCAGTACCGCCTCTTTGAACAATGGTTATCGGCCATGCATTTAATGTCAATGTTTATATTCGTCTTAATACAACATTGATCGACAGTCTTTTAATATAAATTGATTTCGTTGCGTTCAAAGAGACAGCTAAACAATAGTGTGAGGAATAAACTTACACCGGGATTTCAACAGCAACAGCAACAACAACAAGCAACAACAACATGGTCTTAAACGCTCGAGTTAGTGAATATACATATATTAACAACTTTGTAAGGTTTAACTTGAAATTGGTCAGAACAGGAAATGTTAGAGCGGTTTTCAACTGAGGTCGCAAATCCAAAGCCAAAACACTGTTTTCATTGGCCAAGCACAGCAAACGTAAATAACACAATCGAACTCAATGAGAACTCGACCAATACACGTAACCGGCGCGTGAACCAAGTCGTGATTGGTTGAGTAGGTGGCGCAGTTTCTTAAACCAATCAGAGAGCGTAATAAAGCAAAACCAAAGCAATTCCAGACTATTTTTCACTCGACACTTGATTGAAAACTGCTCTAGATATCAGTACTATCAAGACCTGTTATTCTAACTACATGTATAACGTTTATCTCACACCATAGCTTAAATCTGATTACGTGACCAAATGAAAAATAAAACTGATTTTTTTGTTTCAAGTGGAAAACACAGATAAATACACTTTATATGAATTACGAAAACAATATTGACCCTATAATCTTGTGAGCGAAAGGATAGATAACGAGTCATAACAATGCCCCTAGCCGTAAGAAACAGTAAAAATACACTCTTTTTTTGTAAGAATGTATATTTTTTCATGTCCAGGCTGAATATTCTTATTTTTCTGCCGATTTTAAGCCGGAAATATTCTTAATACATTCTTAGTTCCTCTCTCCTCCGCAGAGGCTCAATGTGCTCAATGGTCGCTCAATGGGGTTTTTAAGAGAAATCCGCTGAACGTGGTGTGTGCAGGGGCTAAGTAACTGGCGGATCAACGAAGCGGCGAGCCTCTGCCAGATTTGGTGTCGTTTTCTTGTACATCTTTGTCGTTTTCTTGTACATTGGACGATTTCTCAGGCCCTCGCTAAATTTGACAGCTTGAAACTTGGCAAAAATCAGCGCTAGGTATGTTGCTACAGTTAGCGATCGTTATTTTTAAGACGAGGTTTCATATTTACTAAAAAAAAGCCAAAATGTTGATCTCCGAATTGATCGCGAAGACCCTCCAGAAATCCGTGGGGGGTGGTCTTGCAAGTGTGTTATTCTTTGGAAACAATGGCGGAAGAGCTTTGACTTTTCGCTCCAAGAGATGTCTCTTGACGGTAAATGTTCTTCTTGTATTTTCGTGTTTTTGGTCTTAAAATTCCTGCTGGTTGCATTTCGTTTTAATTTTAGCGTTTAGTTTTAACTTCAATAGGCTTACAGCTTTTGGTTTGAATCGCAAGTTTTGCACTCGACGTTTTAAACACGTAGAGATTAATAAAACACATTTCATAGCCGGAAAAACTAAGCTTTACCTGTTCTCTTTTCTTTTGGGACAGAATTAATAGGTTGTTGAGAGTTTCAGTCGCCGGGGAATCCTTTGCTTCCTGAATTTCTTGATCGCCACATGGCGGGTCTCGAGAATGTTGAATTCTGTAGATCAACCCATCAGAACACAACAAAACATATTCAGATTTCCATGCATCTAAAGTTTTAGTTCTCTACTTGTACATCGCGTATAAACATTCCGAACAGATTCTGATGCAGCCGCCATTTTACTGACATACGGCAGTTATATATACACCACCGTACCCCCGGTGAGGAACACTGATAAAAAGTTGCCTCCCCCGGATGGCGGCCATATTGGGTGTGGTATCTGGCAGAGGCTCCCGCCGTCGCTCTCTCCGGGTTTCTCGCGCCTGCACTCACTTCGTTCAGCTGATTCTCCCATATATGAGCCTCTGCGGAGGAGAGAGTTTTCTTAGTTAACAAAGTGATCCAGAGTATAGTATTTCAGTAAAATAACAGAAATAATACGACCTGGACTGTACACGTGTTTATCCTTTTGTTAACTCGTTTTGATTTAAGAAAAAGGAAAGAAGTATACATGGTACATATTTACACGAAACATCATGTGATTTTATTGTATTTTATTTTCTATTAACATTAACATATTAACTAGCTTAACTTTATCTCAGCCTTGGGTATATTCTTAGCATATTCTTAAAATTTCGCCAATCGTAGTCTCAGAGAGGTAGTGGCTTACTGGATATTCAATCTGGATCGTGTTTCCTCGCGATTGAGCTATCGCTTGAAGAATACGGAAACGAATATAAACGACGCATTTACATGAGAAAACTTGCCAGAACAATACTGGTTAATGATTTCCGATTCCGAAAACCGCACAAATAATGATTGAGGTCTTGAATCTGTGAATTTTAAATAAAGTCTTACACCTATTGAAATTGCTTGGTTCGCCTCTCAACACCTTTTAACAATATGCCTTTTAACGTTCTTGAAAGACCACGCGAAGCTGTCAGCTTAACATGTGTTTCAACAATTTAAATCTGATGCTGAAACCGTTTTGAGGAAAGCAAGCAAGCTGCGGGGTAACGGGGGCGAGATTATCAAGACTGTAAAGGCTTTATAGGCATTGGAAAAGCGTTCGATATGCTGAGACCAGAATCTGGCATGTCATGCACCATTGTCTATTGGTCGCCAGCTGTTCAACACATTTGCGTTGAAAGCGGATCCCACGCGACTGAAATCTCCAAAAAATTATCCCCGAACGCGGCAAGTTGATCAATTGACTGCTTCCGTTCAAGAAAGCGACATGATCAACTGCAGGACGACAAACTTTCGTTTGAGTCACAGAATGGCGCGTTTGCCCATTTTGCTCATCTAACAGCTAAGGTAAGAAATACTTCTCGCTTGGCGATTACAAAACGTAATGGGAATGGATCTTTGCCACTTCATTGTTATAGCTCATATTAAAAGCTTACAGCTGCACAGGATCGGTGAATTTTGCAAAATGTAAGGTGAAGCAGGCACAGGGCAGTATAGTTTTACAGCGCATTAACGCGAAAGGCTTCAAATTGAGCCCAGCTCGTTCATGAGGTACATACGCTAACATATTTATACAATTTTTCTTTCATCA